TCAATTCAAATGTGTGCCTCCAAGCAATGACAGATTGCTTAGGCTGGAAGTGTTCTTTCAAAACTTTCTTTAAATCGGAGTAGGAAACAGTTTCTAGCGAGGCCGGGGCGATTAAATTCTCGGCGATCTCAAAGGCGTCTTGCCCACAAACGCACAACATTGTGGCAGCCTTTAGGCCTTCTTCTCTTATCTGATTTACGCGGAAGTAAGTCTCTACTCTTGCAACGTAAGATTCCCACTTCTCCGGGTGAGAGACATCAAATTCAGCTAACTGCCCGATTTTCGCCATGATCAGGAACAGGATTTTCTTCAGCCGCACACCCTCCAGCGATGCTGTACTGGCAGGATAGACGCTGACTTCAACGCCGTTGTTCCTCTTCCAGACTTCTTTGGGTGAGTCTTCAAGCTTCCCTAGCTCAGGGCTTTTCAACCTTTTCACCCATTGTACCACTTTTAGGATATGGCAATATCCGAGTACCACCAGTCACCTAGCAAGGTGTCAAAAACTTGATGACCAAAAAACAAAAAAAAGGAAAAAAGTGATAAAGTACAGGTAGTCCTCGACTTACAACAGTTCGCTTAGTGACTGTTCGAAGTTACAATGGCACTGAAAAAAGTGCCCCCCCAAGCCACAGCCGAGCAAGACACCTGCCTGCCCACCTGGCGGCACTCTTCCTCCTGTCTGAGGTTTTCATTGTTGTGAGCATTTCTGTTCAGGATTGGTAGTGGGGGTGGGGTGGGGAGGTGTTTGGTTTTTATTCCCCCCGTCTGCTGGGTGGTTGCAGCAGGTTTTGGTCACTTCACATGACCCTGGGACACTGTGACTGTCATAAATATGAATCAGTTGCCAAGCATCTGAATGTAAATCACAAAACCCTGGAGATGCTGCAACATTCCAGCTGATCAGCGCTTCTTCTGGGCTCAGCAGAAGCGCCAGGATCAGCGCCGAGCTCCAGCTGGAGCCTGGCGTTGATCCTGGAGCTTCCACTGAGCCCTGACAGCCCTGCAGCTCCAGCCATCTCTCACTGAGGCTCGTGCGGTGCTGCCACCAGTTCAGCTCATTCCCCTCCCCCACTATCACTTTTCTAGGATGGTCGCGTACCACCTGCCAGGTGCCAATGTACCACAGGTGGTACCCGTACCACTGGTTGAAAAGCCCTGCCCTAGCTATTTAGACTGTATCCCACCTTCGTCGCCAGTGTTAAGTCCGGAGAATAATGGCGCTTGAAGCAATGCATTTCCAACATGTCTTTATTCTCTGACTACAATCTACGAACGAACCAAGCAGAGGCACACAGGCCTCTATTTATACCCTCTGATCCCCGGGCAATTCCAACCAATCACAAGGCTGTCTTTTCCCGCCTTACGCATGTGCGCAAGGCCGGCGCCGCTCAGTCTGGTTCCGGGCAGCTTTTGCAAATGCCCGGGACTCTTGCAACGTCCCGAGCCTGCTTCTGCAAGCTCAGGACACAACAGTGGAATATTCAAAATATTTTTAAGAAAAAGATAAAGTTCAAGCCGCAGATATTTCTGCTGGGTATTATGGAAGATCTGGATAAAAAAGAAATGGATTTGATGTTGAATTTGATAACTGCTGCAAGTTTACTTGTAGCTCAATGTTGGAAAACGGAACATTTGCCCACTATAGAAGAATGGGTACTTAAAGTCTCAAATTTAGCAGAAATGGCCAAGATTTCCGCTTAGGTGAAGGATTATTCACAAGAAAGATATATTCTGGTTTGGAGAAGATGGATAGATTATATTGAGAGTAAATATGGTACTAAAAAGTTTCTTTTGGTTTTTGAGTAAATTTTAGAGTGTTAATGTAGTTTATGTGTTATAATTGGTTACTTACTTTTATTTATAATTATTAATATGATGTTATAATTATTGTGTTTAATATGTTTGTTTAAAAGAGAGTTAAAGGATGTTACAGATTTGTTAATCTAATAGTTGATTAATGTTAGATAGAGTATGGTTATTGTATTGTTAACCCTGTGATTGGCTCTGGGAAGTGGGGGGAAGGGAGGGGTAGGGGTAGGGTGGGTTCTGGGGAGGGGGGGAAGCATGTTGTAAAACTTTTATAAAATTTTCAATTAAAAAAAAAAAAGAAGTGAGAGCAAAACAGGTGGCATACAGAACAGAAGTGAGAACATTTCATCCTCTGGATTCATCATTGACAGAAAACTGATATCACTGACTTTGCCCACTTTCTCTGAGTAGCCAAGAAGTAGATTTAATCGCATGACCCTATCAACCAGTGTTAAACACTGAGAGCCAGTGTGGCATAGTGGTGAAGGTCTTGGGCTAGGACTGGGAAGACCTGGATTCTACCCTCAGCCATGAAAGCTCATTGGGTGACCTCAGACTAGTAACTCCCTCTAGTAGCCCAGCCAACTTAACAGGGTTGTTCTGGAGAGAGAAAAAATGGAGGACTCCTACATATTTCTACCATGGGCAGCTGGAGGAAGTAAATAAACCTCAGCTACTTTTAAACCCAAAGGGTGGAAGGGAACAGATTTTGTGCATTATGTCTCTGATGAACCTAGATATATGTCTTTATATGTAAGCAGGCCTCTCCATTGCCTACCTTCTGGTCAGAATTCCTGTCCCACTCCACCCCAGGTTTGATAAGTTTGATTTGGCTAGGTAGACTGTTTGTCTTAAGATAACTGAAGTGCTCAAGCTCACCTCAAAGTGAGCTGCTGGATTCAAGAAATTAATGCTTTCTCTCTAATGATTTTTTTTTTCAGTTAAAAGAGTTGTACATGCTGCTAAATGAAAATTATGTTGAAGATGATGATAACATGTTTAGATTTGACTATTCAGCAGAATTTTTGTTGTGGTGAGTCACAGTTTCCATATACATGAAGATGATGTTATCCATTCAGTCAAGTCTCATGGCTATTCTACGGACCAGGTCTCCACATCTTCCGATCTTGCACTATTTCTTTGAGTTTTCCTATGCTCTAGCTCATGTCAGCTTTGATAGTGTCCAGCCACCGTGTTCTTTGATGGCCTGGTTTCCTTTTACCGCTAACTCTTCCAAACTTAATTGCTTTCTCCAGTGAATTTGCCCGCATGATATGGCCAAAGTAAGTGAGATACAGTTTCATGATTTTGCCTTCTAGTGACATGTCTGGTGTTATGCACTCCAGTACTTGCTTGTTAGTCACCTTTGCTGTCCAAGAAATATGCAGGAGCCTTCTCCAGCACCACAGCTCAAACAAGTTGATTTTCTTCCTATCTTGTTTTTTTAAGGTCCCGCTTTCACAACCATAGGTAGTTACGGGGAACACAATAGAGCGAACTAACCTACATTTGGTTGCCAGGCTGATGTCCTTGCTTTTCCATATTCGGCTCATGTTCCATATACATCAAGAGGGTAATCTGTGGACAAGTAATTTCTGAATGCTTTTATTATTTTCCTGTTCTTTTCTCAGCCTTTCCCTTTTCTGTCAGACAGCAAGGAGGGTGTATACTGATTTTTTATATATATTTGATGCTGAGAAAGTTTACAGTATTCTATAAAAGGTGAGACGTAATCATTAATTTCTTGCTTTTCCCCCCACTGTTTTAGGGCCCTTAGACCACCAGGCTGGCTTCCACAGTGGCACTGTGGGGTCAGGGTATCGTCCAATAGGAAACTGGTAGGGTTCATCAGTGCCATTCCTGTACACATTCGGATGTATGATAGGTAAGCCCTAACTGAATTGGAGGTTAGCTAGGGTCTCTTAGATGTTTTTTAAAATCATTTGCATGTGATTTTTTATTAGCTGAGAGGTTAGATTTGGCATTGCCTGCTGGAAGAAACTGTAACGGAAAACTGGTGAAGTATTGGAGAAGTCTTAAATATCTCAAGCTAAAATCTTTGTACATTTACTCCAGCAGTTAGCAACTTTTTCTGTGATAGGCACTATCATGAAACAACTCTAGAGTTTATTTCCATTAAAAAAAATCTTTTTCTTTCTCTTCATTGTCATCTCTTAATCTTGGAGATCACCAGTCATTATTTAGCAGTACCTTGAGCATTGGGGTGCAATCACACACATATCCCTATGCTTTCTTTATCCCACTAATAATGTTTATTGAGACTGTTCACAATTAATAATAGCATTTCAGCATTTTTTCCCTCTAAGAAGGCACTGCAGTAATACTTAAAAGAGAGATAGCTCTCATCTAGTTATATACTGGAGCACATTGGAGAACGCTAATCAATTTCAGCCTTACGTTTTCTCTGATACTTCCCTGCATGTGTTTACACATGTGCACACCCAAAGCACACGACCCTTCACTTTCTTCCCCTTTGTCTTCCATTGTGCCCGAACACTCAACAATAAAATCCAAAACATGTTCTTACCCTTAGTAGTTTTTAAAGTATAGCTAAAATTTGGCTGCTGACCATTAATTTAGAGAATAAAAATGTTCAGAGCAGTAAATGATATGTAAGGTAGCAAGAAGAGGTAAACATCGCTATGCAGAAATCCCAGATAAATATTTCATTTGCCAGAGTCAGCAATTCAACCTGTGCTTATAATTTATGTAAGATATTAATCCAAGCGCCGAGCAACTGAATTAGTGAAATCAGTAGATAACGTACCCCTCCCCCCCAAAAAACACCTTAATTAGCAGTTACTTTTGGTTTCTACCAGAAAATCCTTTGAAGCAGAAAATCACTGTCACGGCAACTATTTTGGCTTCATTTACTTCTGTACAACTGACTGTGACCTCTTAAATGTGGGAAAGGCCAAGCTAGAATCTTCCACATGTCAGGCACATGGTAGATAGGTTTTATTGTATTTATTTACCTCAAATACATAACAACTATAGGGGATCCTGCAGAGGGTTGCAGAATGAACTGTAAAATTTACACAAGAAGTTATTTCCGACACAAAACATAAATATATACCAAATCAGTAGACTGGGCTGAAATATTTCCTGAAAAATCAGAAGATGCAATGTTTTTGGCAATTTACTACCCATAATCCTTCCCTATAAAGAAAATAGTTTGCCTTGCTATGCTATATTTTTACACAGTATTATCCACATGCACCTGGGAAAGAGAATACTAAAAATGAGTGTGCCTAATATGGATTCAAAATACATTTGGTTTATACAACTGGAAGACAGCAGCATTTAGAAATATAGCCATGTGCACTTAATAGCACGTAATGGTACTGTTAGCTGCCACCTCACTCTTCCTTGTGCTTCACCACCATGCGGTGACAATCTACCATGGACTCTGGGGAAGGGGAAGGGGAGGGGGGATGCTTGGGGGAAAGCAAAAGTACTGCTGTATCTCCCCAAGACACTGCTTCAAGGTCACCCAGCTGGGAGAAGAACGCAGCTGCATACCAACCTACGCTTGAAGTGAAAACACCTTGCTTAAACCTGATTGGTCATGGGGGGTGGTGGTCAGCAATAGGAGGCAGTTAAGGGAGGGAAAAGTTGAACTTAGGGAATTTGGCACACGATTCTCAGTTCTGGCTATGTTTTACTGCAATACACTTAACTTCTAATAAACTATACTTTTCTCAACAAATGGAGCCAAAGATCATTTCTAGTTAGAGGTTTAAGCTGTGGCAGGTCTGACAGGTACATATTCCTCAAAGAGCACATGTTACTTCCAGAATAAGGAATATTGACAACCATCCACTGGAATAATCTTTGTTTTATTTAAAAAATATTTTAAAAGGTACAAAAATTCCATGTACTAAAACATTGATGCTGGAAAATAAATTGACTTCATTTCCAGTTTACCTCAAGAAAAGGTATATAGAAGCTGTAATTATGGAAATTGTTTATTTTTTCCACATATGATGCTTGAATTATTTGTGTAGAGCAGTGTTTCTCAACCTTGGCAACTTTAAGATAGGTGGACTTCAGCTCCCAGAATTCCCCAGCCAGTGGATGGCTGGCTGGAGGAGTTCTAGGAGTTGAATTCCACCTATCTAAAAGTTGCCACGTTTGAGAAACACTAGTGCAGAGCCACAACCTAGCCCTTTTCTTTTCACAAAGCCCCATTAGTAACTAGCTAGAGAACGCTATAGAGCAGGGGTGTCAAACTGCCGGCCCACGGGCCGGATGCATCATAGCGAAACTGCGCCCACCCCATTGCCAGCAATGGGAAAAAAGTCGTGATATGTCGCGACACATCATGTGACGTTGCGAGTTTGATACCCCTGTTATAGAGCAAGGATAGCTGCAGCTCCCATGTGGACCCCAACTCCTTTCTTGTGACTCCAGGAATTCTCCAAGATGGTGCTTCTGAAATTAGCAGCTAACCCACAGATAGCAGCCACAATACTTTCCACTGTCTTTAAAACATAGAGAATAACACAGGGTATTAAACCTCTAATTCATTTAACTCAGCTATTTTATTTTTAAAAACAAACAGCAATTCCCCCCCAAATTTGCAAAAAACTGGGGACAAAACGTAAGGTTCTGTCCTCCTCTGATATCATTCCTCTGCACCCTTCTGTAACAGGAGGAGGAGGAGGATATTGATGTAGTTCTTTCTTAAAAATGACTCTTTTGGGTTTAAAAATTTGCCTGTTCCTTCTGTAGGGAATATAATTTGTGTAAAATTGGGAAGAGCCAGTTAGTGGGGTAGGTAGATCATATTAGGTAGATAATATATAAGAATATTTATAACCCCCCCTCCCAAATGCAAGTAGTCGCTTATACATTTTCATTCACAGTGAGAAGAAAATGGTAGAAATTAATTTTCTGTGCGTCCATAAAAAACTACGATCAAAGCGAGTAGCACCAGTCCTGATCCGTGAAATAACCAGGAGAGTTAACTTGGAAGGGATTTTTCAGGCTGTTTACACTGCAGGAGTAGTCCTTCCGAAACCTGTAGCAACTTGCAGGTAAGCAAAGGTTTAAATTTGCTTGAGAACTTACATATTTTTTTGTTTTAAATGTATAGCTAAAACTCACATTATAAGTTGAATGGTTAGTTTAGGATTCTTAAGTTCAAACCAAAAGGAGGGCTTATGTATTAGAGAGGTATTTCACATTAATGGCAGTGTTGAATGGGAGGTTGGCATTTCTGCCATTCTTGAAAATGTATGAGTTCCAGTTATGAAACTCATGGCCATTTAGTTAGTCGTGAAGGATTATGGCGCATTATGTCGAAGTTTGGGTGCCCTGACAGATTTATTCTGATGGTGCGGCAGTTCCATGATGGCATGGCGGCTCGTGTTCTGAGTAACGGTGAAGCTTCAGAGGCTTTCCCGGTCACAAACGGCGTTAAGCAAGGCTGTGTGCTGGCACCAACCTTGTTCAGCATGATGTTTTCAGCCATGCTGTCTGATGCCTTTCAGAACAGCTCAGTGGGAGTCAATCTGAGGTACAGAACCGATGGGAAATTGTTCAACCTGCGCAGACTCCAGGCTGTCACCAAGGTAAAGGAGACTGTGCTACGAGATCTTCTCTTGGCTGATGACTGTGCCCTTAATGCAGGATCGGAGCAGGAAATGCAAGCCAGCATGGACAAATTCGCAGCCGCTTGTGACAACTTTGGCCTCTTCATCAACACGAAGAAAACTGAAGTGATGTACCAGCCAGCTCCAAAAGCCCAATACCAAGAGCCTACCATCACAGTGAAGGGACAAAAACTGCAAGCAGTGGACCAAT